CCCAAATTTAAAGAACCAATATCAACCAAGGAAATTGAACATGTAAACATGTAAACCTACCAACAGAGAAAAACCCAGGCCCTGACAGATTCACTCCCAAATTCTATAGGAAATTCTGTAACACCTTGAAAGGGAAGAAATATTTCCAAATTCATTCTCTGTAGCAAGTGTTACCCTGATATCAAAAGTAGAGAAGGACCCAACTAAGAAAGAAAATTACAGGCCAGTCTCCCTAATGGACACAGAGGCAAAAGTCCCCAGTAAAATACTAGCAAATACAATGCAGCAAATCACCAAGAAGATTATACACTATGACCAAGTGGGATTCATCCCAGGGATGCAGGGATGGTTCAAAATACATACATCAACAAATATAATATACCATTTTAACAGAGCCAATGATAAAAATCACATGATCTTCTCAATTGATACAGAAAAACCTTTTGACAAAGTGTAACATTCATTCATGATAAAAAAACCCTACAGAAAATCAGAATAGATGGTCCTCACCTCAATCTGATAAAAGCCACTTATGATAAACCAACAACCAACATCATATTAAATGAACAAAAACTGAAAGCTTTCCCCCTAATATTGGGAACAAGACAAGGACGTGTACTGTCTCCACTCTTACTCAACTCAGTCCTGGAAACTTTAGCCAGAACAATTAGACAAGAAAAACAAAAAGAATAATAGGGCCCCTTTTACCAAGATGGAGCCAAAGAAGAAGGAATCCCCCACCCCTTCCAAAGCTGAAGTCAAAACAAAAGCTTTGAAGGCCAGGAAGGCCGTGCTGAAAGGCATCCACAGCCACAAAAAGAAGATACAAATGTCGCCCACTTCCACTGTCCCAAGACACTGTGATTATGGAGGCAGCCCAAATACCCTCGGAAGAGCACCCCCAGGAGAAACAAGCTTGACCACTAAGCCATCATCAAGTTCCCCCTGAACACAGAGTCAGCCATGAAAAAGATCAAGGACAACAACACACTCGTGTTCATTGTGGGTGTCAAAGCCAATGGGCACCAAATCAAACAAGCTGTAAGGAAGCTCTAGGACATCGATGTTGCCAAGGTCAACACCCTAATCAGGCCTGATGGAGAGAAGAAGGCATATGTTCGGCTGGCTCCTGATTATGATGCATTGGATGTTGCCAACAAAATTGGGATCATCTAAACTGAGTCCAGCTAATTCTAGATATATATTTTTTTCCCAGTAAAAAAGAAAGATGCTGGGCCGGGGAGATGGCTCAGTAGAATAAGTGTTTGCCTCGCAAGCACAAGGGCCTGAGTTCAATCCCGGTTCTGCAAAAATAAAAAATAAAATAGAATACAGGTTCTTAAAAAAAAAAGAAAGATGCAAATTAAAACAATAAAATCTCACCCCAGAAAAAATGGCTATTATCAAGAAATCAAACAATAACAAATGCTGGAGGGGCTGTGGGGAAAAGGAACCCTTCTCCACTGCTGGTGGGAGTATAGACTGGCACCGCCACTGTGGAAATGAGTGCAGAGAGCCCTCAAAAAACCAGGATTGGAGGTCCCATTGACACAGCTATTTCCCTTTTGGGTATCTTCCCAGAATAAAAAATATCATACCACAGTGATATATGTGCACCCATGTTTATAGCAGCACAATTTGTAATAACTAGGACAAAATGAGAGGGCTGTGTCTATAATTCTACATGGACAGAACCATAGAGCTCACTGACTATGCACAGGTACAGTATTACCCTTCCAGATAAAGGCCAAGTGATCCCAAGGTAAAGCTGTCTCCTCTTCGACTCTGGAGGGTTTCAGTGGGTCAGACTGCCTCCAAGAGCCTCCAGAGCAATATTGCTGCCCCAGTGGGCTCAGAAGGTGCGACCTGCTCCCTGATGGGTCCAGAGGCCAGAGCATCCAGCAAGAGAGGATGAGCCAGACACCCTCCAGTCAAACAGAATTTCTTAGGGGCCTGCTGGTTAGCTCAGGTGTTTAAGTGCCTGCTCATGCAAATGCAGTCAGGCGCAGGATATGGCAGGATCATTGGATCCCCACCTCCACCCACCTTACCAGACCCGCTCTTAAGGCATCCTAAGCCAGCCCCCCCCCAAAAAAAAATCATTCTCAATCTTGGGCCAGGGATGTAACTCAATGACATAAGCACCTGCCTGGCAAGCACAAGGTCCAGAGTTCAATCCCTGGTACTGAAAAAAAAATGAATTTCTTTATTAGACTTGGGATTTTTTTTTCTTAAGACTTGGGACTTGTGATCCCTTTTTCATTGCAATTTCTACTTTGTGCAATAGGAATATCATCTTTTTTGTGTGCAGGGTCTCACTACACAGCTTGGACTTGTAGTGATCCTCCTGTTTTCAATATCCCCCGTGCTGAGATTAAAGGTTTGCACCACCATGCCCAGACTCAGTTGCTGGCTCAACATATCCAGGGGGCGTGGCAGCGTGGCACATGGAGGGATCAAATCCCGAGCCCTGCTATGCCTAAGCAGTCACTTAGTCCACTGAGCTATCTCACCAGCTCTGGGAATATCTTTTTTTTTCTGTATTTTAGGGAAGGGTCTATAGGGTGTTCAGGGTCTCACTACTAGATTGGACTGGAAGTGATTCTCCTGTTTACAGCCTCCCAAGAGCTGGGATTATAGGAGCACACCACCACGCCCAGTCTCATTTGCTGTCTCAACGTGCCCCAGGGGCAGGGCCAACATGGCAGGCCTGGGGATCGAACACCCAGCCCCTGTGCCTGCTTGCAGGTGTTTTAATCTGCTGAGCTATTTGGCCAGCCCTGGAAATATCATTTTTGAAATTCTATTTTATTAGCACGTTTAGATTATATAATAATGGTGTTTATTTGGGGATGTTCGCTCAAGCTTTTAACATATCTTAATGGATTTTAATTCCCTTGCCTCTAAGGACTATCTATCTTATGCCTCTTGTACAACTGTATTTTGCAAGCAGAAAACTGATCTGGTTTTAGAGGCTGACAGCTAGAGAATTTTTGCCTCAGGATAAATCATACCTCTTGTTGACCCGGGGATATAGCTCAGCACCATAAGTGCCTGCCTGGCAAGCGGAAGGTCTGGAGTTTGATCCTCAGTACCATGCACACAAAATAATTATCATATCTCTGGTTTTAGCCAGTTTATTTATGAGACAATCTTGCTGGCCTTGAACCCATTATGTAACTGGAAATCCTCCTGCATCAGCCTCCCGAGTGTGAAAGTCACAGGCATGTGTGACCAGGCCTGGCCCACTATACTTCATTTAGCTGATATTTAGTTGAGAGTTAAGATTTAAAGTTAATGTGGAGGGCCGGAAAGATGGCTTAGTAGAATAAGTGCTTCCCTGGCAAGCATAAGGGCCTGAGTTCAATCCCCAGTTCCATACACAAAAAAAGTAACTCAGTTGTGCCCTAAATTTTCTGATCAAGATTATGGAGCCACAGAGGAAAGTGATTGATGATGTAGAGTGTGCCTAAGGAGAGTCACATGGAGAGAAATCAATGGCTGTGACTCATCCACCTGGTTGACACTGACAAAGGATCTACCAACTATGGTACAGGGTTTCAGGACAAATCCTGAGGGGATTTGACTGACCTTGTCAGATACAAAAGTTACATTTCTTGTTATATAGGTCTTGCTTTATCTTGGTCTTAACCATCCAGCAGAAAAGTATAACAACGAGGTATATATAGTAAAGACATATTAATATGATGAGCTGTGAAAGGCTCAAGTCAACAACTTCTGTGGACAACCCCCTACTATTGTGGACTGCTGGACTGTGTTGGACTGTTTTGCTGAATTCAAGCACCTATAATATTTAGATGCCAATAGAATACCCATCTCTGACAGAACTGAAGTGGAGAGGGGGCATATGGAGGAAGGACCATTTTGTATTTGTATATACAGAATAGTCAGGATAGCTGTATGGCTGCTTTCACTTGGTACAGTGAGAAGAAGGATTTGTAGTAGTAGTGTTTGGATGGGATGTCCTGGCTGCTTCTTGTGCTGTGGATGACTGCTAAGAAGGTAACAATGTGCAATGTATTAATCATTGAAAATGTCCTATTGGCCAAAAAAAAAAAAAAAAGAAAGAAACTGTCCTATTAATCAGCTTGGAAAATGTCTTATTGATATTTGTTTCTCAATAAAAAAAAGTTAATGTGAGGGTTGGGGGTAGGGGTCAGTTGTGTATAGTATTTGTGTAGTATAGGCAAGGTCCTAGATTCACCACCACTCCAGCATCATAGAAATATGCCTATGTGGGAGAAGAGCTTTGAGTGACCAAGGTGGCATTGGATGTAATTTGCACTGAGGAAGGACATGAATTTGCTTTTGAGAGCAGTATTACCATATTGAAGCCTTCACCCGCAGGAATTTAGAATGTGAAAGCATTCGGAGACTGGGCACTCCGAATCCAATCTCATCGATGTGCTCAGAGGAAATCTGAACACCCATTGAGAAGCCAGGGTCCTGAGGACATAGAGAGAAAAAAACCAAGTGAAAACAGAGCAATTGGCCAACTTGCAGGCAAAGGAGAGGAGCTTCAGAAGACAGCACAGCTGCTCATGCTGTGACATGCTCCAGAACCACAAAAATCAATTGTTGTCATTTAAGCAACCAACGGGGTGGCATTTTGTTGTGGCAGCTTGAGTTGATACGGGGGGAGGGGTCTATGGAGTGAGTGACAGGGTGGTGTTGAAGGGGGACTCCCTACAGTGAGCGCTGGGGTGTGCAGGGTGAATGATGGGAGTGTGTAAGGTCAGGTTGAGGGTGCATGGGATCAGATAAGCAGGTGTACGTGACGACAACAGTCTGTGAATTCAAGAGTAATGGAGGGGCTGGGGGTTAGTAATTAAAGATCTTTCAGTGTTGAGATCTTTTATTTTTTGATTTTAAAAACTGCCACCATCATCCCCCACCTCCTGGCTTCTCTTACAGCCTTTCCTCAGTGGCTCCTAGCAGTAGCTCCACATTGCCCTTTTTACCGTCTCTGGCCCTTTTTGCACGCACCATCAGCCTGAGTGACCCTCAAGCTGGGGGAGCAAGACTGAATTTTCCTGGCAGGCAGAAGTACCTCTTGCCCCTCTTCTGGTCCTGTGCCCCCTTCATTAGTTCTGTTTGCGCTTGGCTTTCATCACCTTGGTGTCGTGTGTACTCTGGGCCCCACAGAGCTGCTTCATGGAATCAAACATGAGGACTCCAGGTATCACCAGCCATATAGCATTCATGAAGAAGAAATAAAACCAGAAATGGATGGGGTGGCCCAGCTCCCCATGTTGGAATCCATCGCGGTACTCTGTCAGGAAGTACAGCACATCCCCATAGACTTGGCCTGTGAGGGGCAGAAACAGGAGAAGCCCCGTGAGGAGGAGATGCTAACCCAGACTCTTTACTCTGAGGCACTTTCCAGTCATCCTGCAAGGTCTCAGAGCTCAGGATTCCATCCTCAGAGAGCCAAGAATTCTGAACTCACAGGGTTGAAAATCTGAGAAATCAGAAAGGTAAGAATTCTAGAAAGCACAGCACTGATAATTTCTGAACTCAGGAGAGCTCATAGCTTCAGAATTTTGTGTTTGTTTTTTTGAGACAGGGCCTTACTATATAGTTTGGGCTGGCCTCAAACTCATGACAATCCTCCTGCTTCAGTCTTCTGCATATTGAGACTATAGGTGTGCACCACCATGCCCAGCAAAAATTGCAGGAACTCAATAAAATCTTAGAAATTGAGGCATGGGCTGGCCAGGCTCGGCAGATTAAAGCACTTGCTTAGGCAGAGGCAGGGACCCGAGTTTATCCCCAGTGTGCTGTGCTGGCCTCGCCCCTGGGGCATATTGAGACAGTGACAGAGACTGGGTGTGGTGGCGTGCACCTGTAATCCCAGTACTTGGGAGGTGGAAAACAGGAAGATCACTAGAGTCAGATCTGTGTAGTGAGACCCTGTAGACCCTGTACTAAATACAAAAAAAAGAGAAAGAAATTAAGTCAGCTTGGGATTCCAGGATTAAAGAAAAGCCACAGGCCCAGAACTAGAGAAAACTAACAATTTAAAAACATAAGAACGTAAAGATGAAGGAGCTAAGAACCCTGGTCCTATAGGATCTGGGGGCTCCCTGCTAGTGTGCTCACCTCCTGTAACCTTCACCAGGGACTCTGTAGTACAGAAAGGGAAAAAAAGAACCCTCTACACTTGAGTGGCAGGCTCAGAGGGAGCATGGCTGTCCCCAAACCCCCAGGGCATTCTAGCTTGCCCTTTTATGGACAACACCGAGATGCACCCCACTCAGGGACAAATCAGCACCTCTAGTGCCAGCGCAGGCCCTCTCCTTACCCAAAGAGATCACCAATTGCAGAACATAGCGGGAGGGCTGCTGGCGGAGGAAGGCGATCATTGCCCACACGCTCAGGGGTCCCCACAGGCAAGCTGTGATGCTCTCCATACAGACGGTAAAGTTGTCCTCACTGCAGAAGGAGAGGGAGGGACACCAGTGTCAGTGTGCATTGCCCACACTGTGCCCCACTGGGCACCCCGACTCCCCACCTCCCTAGGCCAGTGCAGATGACACTTACATGATGTATCGGCTATCTCCCTTAGCATATTCTTTCCCTGAAGAGAGCAGATATGAAGAATAAAGGTAAGAAGATAAAAATGGCAGGGGACACAGGTCAGTGTGAAAGGTTTGTGATGCAAAAACTAAAAAAAAAAGGCAGCAGACTTAAATAAGTTCCTCACACATACACAGAAAGGATTTGCAAATGGTCAGCTAACATGGGGAAGATGCTCAAACTTTCAGTAATCAGAAAGGAAAGAGCAAATTAAAGCCAAAAACGTTTTCACTCACATCCACTAGGATGACTAAAGTTTGGGAAACACCTGAGCACACCAAGCATTGGTGGGGATGCAGAGGAACCAGAACCTTCCTATTCTGTTGGTGGAGATGGAACATGGGGAAACCATTTTTTCAAAGTTTGGTAGGTTTTTGGTTTTTTCCTTCAATGCTCGAGACAAAGTCCATGGCCTAACTCAATGCTAGGCAAACATCCCAACCTCTAGTAGCTTTTCATAAAGTTATATATGCAACTACCATAAGATCTAGCTATTCTATGTATTTATCCAAAAACATGAAAAGAGATCAAACATAAAGACATGTATTAGAATGTTCATAGCAGCTTTATTTGTGAGGTCCAAGGGAGTATTGTCAAGACAGAAGACTGCCTTTCAGTACTGCACAAATCAAGAATTTTATAACCTGGGGCAAGGGATTAAATCTCCGGGCCTGCCATGCCGGCCCTGCCCCTGGAGCTTGCTGAGATGGCAATTGAGACTGAGTGTGGTGGTGCGTGCCTGTAATCCCAGCTATTGGGAGGCTGTAACAGATGGATCACTACGAGTCTCATTTACTAGTGAGACCCTGAACACCCTGTAGACCCTTCCCTAAAATACAAAAAAAAGTATTTTATAACACCTATGCTTTGTAAACTCTTTATGAAATGAGGCATGACCTCATGTAAAAAAAGCAAAATTCAGAAATATATAGCACATTATCATTTATGTAAAAAGAAAAATTAAAAAATAATAAACAATTACATGACATGCCAGGTGTGCTAATGCACACCTGTAATCCCAGCACTAGGGAGGCTGCAGTAAAAAAAATTGTTTTGAGTTTGAGGTCAGCTTGAACCACACAGCAAGACACTATCTCCAAAACAAAACATAATTATATGACATGTACTGTTTGTGCACTGTTTTAAGTGCATTATATGTGGTTGAACATTTATTATGATCTGCCCTCTTTTATCTACGGTTCTAGGAATTGAACTCAGGGCCTCACATGGTAGACAAGTGCTGGATCACAAAGCTAAATCCTCAGTCCTTTTTATTTTTATTATGCTTACTATTTATTTAGTGGTACTGGTGATTGAACCCAGGGCCTTTGCACTAAGCTAGCTACATCCCCAATCCTGTTTTAAAAGTTTGAGCCAGGGCCAGGGAGACAGCTCAGTGTCATAAGCACCTGCCTGGCAAACGCATGGTCCTTAGTTTGATCCCCAGTACCTTCCTCAAAAATAAAAATACATAAAACAAAATAAAATTTTGAGACAAAGGCTCACTAATTTGTCCAGGGTGCCTTTGAATTTGAGATCCTCCCACATTAGCCAAGTAGCTGGGATTGCAAAATGCTGCCCTTCTTGGCTCTATTATCTCCCTTGTAAAACCAAGCAAACTGCTGGGTGTGTGGCGATATGCACCTGTGGTCCCAGCACTAGGGAGGCTGAGTGAGGCCAACGGTCACCTATAGTCTGATGCCAGCCTGGGCTACAGAGTGAGTTCAAGGCCAGCGTGAACTACAAAGCAAGACTTTGTCTCCAAAACAAACATACAAAATAAATAAAACCAAACTAGGCTGGGGACATAGCTCAGCAGCATAAGCGCCTGCCTTGCACATGCAAGGTTTCAAGTTCAATCTCTGGTACTGCAAAAAAGAAATAAAAAATAAAAAATAGGGACCGGTACTACAAAAAAGAAATAAAAAATAAAAAATAGGGACCAGGGAGATAGCACAGTAGAATTAAGCGCTTGCCTGGCAAGCACAAGGGTCTGAGTTCAATCCCCAGTTCTGCCAAAATATAAAAATTTTAAAAAATAATAAATGAAACAGAGCAAGTTGAAGATTCTGTGTGTAATTTATGTGCAAATAAATTTGGAAGGAGGGGCTGGGGAGATAGCTCAGTAGAATAAGTGCTTGCCTGGCAAGTGCAGGGTTCTCAGTTGAATCGCCAGTACCTCTAAATTAATTAATTAATTAAATACTGCAAAATTAATTAATTAATTAATTTGGAAGGAAACAAAACAATTTTTTGTTAGTGCTGGGATTGAACCCAGGGCCTCAGGCATACTAAACACACATTACCACTGAGTTCCATTTCCAGCCCCATAAACAAATACTTTTTATTTTTATATTTTGAGATGGGGTTTTATCTCATTAAGATAGAATTACTCAGGCTGGGTTTGAACTTGTGAACTTCCTGCCTCAGTCTTCCAGAGTGCTGGGGTTATAGGCATGCATCATCACCCCCAGCTGATACAAATGATTATTACTTATTTTTTTTGATAGGGTCTCAGTATATAGCCCAGGCTGGCCTACATTGATCCTCCTGCCTCAGCCTCCCCAGAACTGGTCCAGTCCCCAAAACTATTAATAAATGTTAATTTTGTTTCAAACCCAGGCATGGTGATGCATGCCTGTAATACTAGCTCTTGGGAGGCTGAGGCAGAAGTATTGCTGTGAGTTTGAGGCCAGCCTGGGATACGTAGTGAGACCCTGTGTTAAAAAAATAGTTTTGGGGGCAGTTTGACAGATAACAGGCATATTTTAACTATGTGTATCTTTAAATGTTTCTTTCTTTTTTTTTTTTGGAGACAGGGTCTCTGCGCCACCACACCCTACTTAAATGTTTTTTTCTTACCTATGTAAATATATACACAGGGCTGGACAGATGGCTCAGTGGTCTAAAGCACCTACTTAGAACAAGCTTGGCAAAAGCATCAGGGAATGCGGTTCAATCCCCCAGCACCACATGCCAGCCAGCCC